AAATTGTATGAAAAATTGTGTGGGCTTCTTTTAGCTGCTTCCAGAAGTCGGGAGTGAAAACTCCCCAAGTCAGGAGTTCCCAGAACAGAGCTCACACTTGCAGAGTAATGGGGCTGAGCGCCCAGCAGAGAAGAAAACCAGACCACCCTGAGGCAGGTGCATTGACAGCCAGGGGGGACAAGGTCGCACATGTGCACGTACACACACACATGCGTGCGCGGGGCTGGTGCTGACAGGTGCAGTCTCTAGGGCAGCTGCTGGGGGACAGGGGTGTGCCTTCAGAATCCCCCAGGGAGATCACTTTGCAGCTGGAACCTGACATCCAGGTGGACTGTCGGGGACACGTGAGCGGAGAATGGGGGTGTTTGGAGCCGCAGTTTCTCTGAAATACTCCCCAGGCAGCCTTCCTTGGGACACCCTGGCAGGTGCATCCAGCTGTCCAGCTGCTGGGGGAGGGAGTTCCCGCATGGGGTCCAGACCCGCTGGAAGGGGTTTGACTGTGTAGCAGGAATGGAGAGGGTGGGACGAGTGACTGCCCTCCGTGCAGCCATCTCCGGCAGGTGCTCGAACAGTGTTTTCATGAAACCAGTGTAGAAGTGGCTGCACCCTGGCACCCGCGGCCACGAGCTTCACGAGCAGCAGTCGGAGCAGCGTGGATTCGCCGGTGTGGGAGCTCGGCCGGCTGTCGGCGACCCCGGGGCAGTGGGCGGACCCGGGGAGCCCTGCTCGCTCCCCCTGGCGCTCCGCAAGCATTTGCACAGCACCGTGCTCCTGACCATGCCTCCGTGGAAGCCGTGGGCTGTAGGTGTGGCACATTTCACCCCAGGAAGTGTGAGAGTGGTGGCTTCACATGCCGTTTCAGGATGAAGTCAGCATCAGTCATCCAGAAAGTTCCCTCCGATGGAATGCCTCATTCCTGCACCCCCACTCATGCTCTGGCATGACCCACCCCACCCCATCACCCCCGTCTCCTGGTTGCGCCCGGTAGCCCAGTAACCGCCCTCTCCTCCTTTCAGCTCTGCCCCACCTCTGGCAGAAGAGGCCGCCTTGAAGCCCAGGTGTTTACTGACCACGGAGCTCTGAGGACTGCCCGCCCTGCTGTGACCGGAAGCCTCGCCCTGCCCGCACTCCGTCCTGGAACCCGTTGGACTCAGGAGCTTACCCTGTACCTGTAGACATGGATCTCTGCCTAGATTTGACTTCAGCTCGGTGGAAAACAGAGAGCCGCCTTTTCCGTCCCACTGCAAGGATTGGGTACACTGCACAGCTGCCCAATGAGGGCGTCTGGTCCTGGACTGTCTGCAGTGTTATCAAAGTTGCGACTAGGACTCTGCTTTCCCTGCAGTTTCCTCCAGCCTCTTAGCTCCCCCTAGCGGCTGCAGCTGCTCACAACAGCTGCCTGAGGCCGACTCTCCGTGGAGGCTTTGCTGTGCAGTGGCAGGGCCAGGGCCTAGGTCTGAACGCCTGCTGGGAAGTTGTATTGTTTCCATGCATCACCTGGAGTCAGGAATTAGGAAACTAATGTGCACACTGTGTAGGTAGATATAAAACCGGGTGTTGTGTTTGTTCCCCAGTGATTACTAAAGAAAAGTTTAGTATACAGGGTTTTCTTTTCTTTGTTTTTGTTTTTGTTTTTCAGTCTCTTGTACTTTGAATTTACTGGGCTGGTTATCTGAATCCTCCCAGTTTACATCAAAGTCAGGTACATCCGACAGGAACCACAGAGCAGTGAGCTGTCCCGTGTACCACACGCAGGTCCTGTGGCTGTGCGGCCCTGAGGGCTGGATCGCTGTTCAGATCTGGGTGTTTCCTGCAGCTCCCACCATCCCCCAGCCAACAGGGGAGTGCAGGCCACCCAGGGACAGGGAGCAGGAAGGCGCAGCCCTGCAGAGCCCCAAGTCCATGCTGTTTGGACGAAGGCACATGTCCTGTCTGTGGGAACTGGGTGAATTGAGAGCTTGCACACTGACCAAAAGTGAGCAAAACTGAAACAGGCCAGATGCAAGGAGTGGCGGTGGGTGAGAGGATTGTGGAGGGTATGCCCGGCAGGTGGACACGTCCACGCAGCACACTGAAGGGTCTTGCATTGCGGCAGCAGGTTTGGGTCCGTGTAGGCTTCCCTCTACACCTTTCCTGTTGCAGTTGGCTAGTACAAAAAGAAACACTGTGGATGTTCATGTATGTGCTCTTCCTGGAGAAAAGAGTAGAAACGTCCGCCTGTGCTGTCCGCACGCAGCGTCAGCACGATTTCAGCTCTGAAACTTGGCAGTGAATGAGGGAAGCCTCCGTGGGCATGGGGAGCGGGGATGGCCTGGAGACTGTGGGGTTAGAGTCACGCCAAGACCCCAGTTAGGCGGAAGCCACTGGGCCGTGTGTGTAAGCGAGTGTGAACTTGTGCCGCCTCCAGCTTGATGACCTGCGGCACGGTGTGGTTCAGGGTGGCCTGGGCTCCTGTCGCACCATCGCATGCTTGGGCATGCCGGGAGAGCTCAGGAGTTCTGGTCTCCCGCAGGACACAGGGTGGAGGGAGCTGCTCCTGCACGGAACAGGCTGAGGAGAGCAGGTGGCTGCTGCCTTCTGCCAGCACGCCCGGCCTCTGGGTCTCGTTGGTGGAGCCACTGCCAGTTCTTATTTGTAAAACACATCGTCTTGCAGCGGAGGCTGATGCCTGGAGCCAGGGGCCGGGCCTCCCGTTGCCAGTGTCCTGCGGTGTGGGAGGTGGCTGTTTGCCATCCAGTCTAGGAGGCAGCACGGTGCCTGTGTCACACTTTGTACAATGAAGTACATTTTGTAGGAATGAAGTAGTGGAAGACACTCCAGAACCTTTGTCTTCAGATCCCTGGATTCTTGCCAGTCAGTTACCGACAGGGACTTCGGTTAAAATTCATTTGAATCTCAGGCCAAAGAGATTTTGTCTACAATCCTGGCATGAACTGGAAACCGTGGAAGGGGATCCTCGAGGGATGCGTTCACCCTGACACATGAGCTGCCTGGCAGGTGCACAGTGCCTGTCCCTGCTGCTGCCGGCACTGTCGCCAGGGCTGCCGAGTGGGTGGGGAGAAGGCAGGGTGGAGGAGGCCTGTGCGTGCGGCAGGGAGAGGAGGGGAACCAATGCCTGTGAGTGGGCCAGGTGAGGGTGCTGCGGAGGGAGGTGCAGGTGCCGCTGGGGAGGAGGCAGCTGAGACACTGGGCCTGGGGGCTCTGACGGGTCCGATCTGCAGTGCTGCCAGGAAAGGGTTGGCACAGGTGCTTAGAACCAGGTTCTCTGCTCCTCAGTTCTGTCTCTGTCCGCTTAGCAGGGTCCCCAAGGGAACTCTCCGCGGCACCTTCGGAACGCCTGCTAGCAGAGTGCTCGCTCGGGAACGTCCCGTGGTGGTCTAAGAGTGTTGAGAAGTTCAGTTCTCAGCTCCGTACATAGCGGGGTGTGCACACCTGTTCTGGAGAGGGCCAGAGACAGACTGCAGCCTTTCCCTCTGCAGCCTGGCCCAGAGGCGTGAACACACGGGCGCTGTCCACGCAGCGGCTGCTGAGCCCAGCTGGGCAGAGTGGTTGGGAGGCAGCTGTCGCCTTGTCATTGGAGGTGCCGTGGCCTCTCTTGCAGGGGTGGCAGCTACAGCAGGTCAGCTCAGAGCTGGGAGCCCCAGCATCCAGGGAGCAAGGTGGCTGCTTAGAAACCCAAGGCTGCTGCAGACGGACAGACGGAAATTTCTAGATTAGGTGGCCTTCCCCCCACCCCCCACCTCAAAGATCAAAACACTTCTCGAGTGACCAAAAGAACACTGGAAACATTTGCTACGCGTTAGCCTCAGAAGCGAGGAGCTGTGCTTTCGGGACCATCCCGTGCATCTGTCGCCGCCCTGTTGGTGGCTCGGGGCAGTGATCTCAGGGTTTCAGCTCCTCGGAGCGGCTTCTGTAGCACAAACCCCACCCCCCGCCCCCGCTTTGCGTGTTCCTGGCTGGGACGTTCGGCAGCTGTGGGGACCTCAGAGCTGACTGCTCTGTTTACTTTGTGTACGTGCAGAGCTGCGCAGTCGCTTTCAAAGTGTCATTTATTTCTCTGTCAAGTGCACCGATGGCATGCCACGTCCCGTGTTGTGTGACTGCTTGTACTGGAAACCACGAGTTGTTTGTGCACTGAGCTGAGAATTCTAGCTGTGGCCCCACTCGAATAAACCTGCGTGTGACACATTCCTGTTCCCACGAGCGGTTCTATGTGGTTCTCAGACGCGTGGTACCTGCCTGCTGGCCCCGCGGGGCCGCGTGGGGGCGTGGGTGGAAGTGGCGGTGCTCAGTGCACTGCAGGCCGCGCGTGCGCAGGTGGGAGCAGAGGCGTTTGCAGAGGTCACACCCCAGCGTCACCCCCAGCGCATCCGGGAAGGCAGCTCAGGCCACTGCTCCATACCCAGGAGGCCTGCATGCATCTTCCACAGCCTGTGCCCGGGACCATCACCTGCCGGAACGCAAGACGTGAGTGTCGCTGTGGCCCACAGAGAGTAGGCAGGGGTCGCCTCCGCGTCCGCTCCCCACACAGTGCTGCCCAGCGGCGTTCAGGACTCCGGCGGGGCACAGGTGCGCAGCGGCTGGGGAAACCCCTTCCCTCTCCCTCCCACCCTCCTCCTGGGAGGAGACCCTGCGCTGGGCTGGAAACCAAGCAGGACCCGGGCTCCTGGAAGGAATGTGTTGGCAGTGAGGACTGAGCGCCAGCCTGGCTTAGGCGGAGCGTCTGGTTGTGAAAGGGGGGAAGGGTTGCTCTGGCCCCGCGGGGAGGCATAGGGAGACAGCATGGACCACGTGTCTGGCAGGCACAGCCTGCACTCCCTGGAGCTCTGTCTTTCCCTGGTGGGGCCCAGGGAGGGAGGAGACCATGTCCCTGGTGGCGGGCCACCCCGGGGCCTCTGGGCACCGGTGCGTGTTGTGTACACCGCTTCCTTGCCCTGGAGACACCTTGGCCTTGACGTTGGCACAGGCCCAGGGAAGGAGGTCTTTGAATGCCAGGCAGGGCTGGCGCCTGGAGCGCTCTGGGAGAGCCAGAGTGACACTACTGCCCTGTCTGACCCGAGCTGCGGGTTCCCTGGCTGGCACCTGCCCCTCACAGAAACCAGACAGCATGAGGTGGCAGGCGGAACCTTCTAGATCTCTCCATCAGGCAAGGCCTTGGCCCCTGGCCAGGTCCCAAGGGTGGAGAGGCATTTGAGGCCCGGGACCTAGAGGAAGTCCGTCTCAGACGACCCGAGTTTCTTGCTGGGTTCCTGGGCTCCCACAGTCCCCAGAGGGAAGCTGGCAACGTGTGGCCAGGCAGGTGCATGGGGAGAGCCGTGCCTCGGGGACTGAGGCCCTCCGGAACGCCTGTGCTGTGGGCCTTCCCAGGCTCCCTCCTCAGCATAGTGTTGCCCCTTACTATGATGCTGGCAACCCAGCCTCAACTCAGATGAGCCCCTGGGACCGGCGCCGAGGTGTAGCGGGTAAAGCCGCTGCCTGCAATGCCGGCATCCCATATGGGCGCTGGTTTGAGTACCCGCTGCCCCACTTCTGATCCAGCTCCCTGCTCATGTGCCTGGGAAGGCAGTGGAAGACGGCCCAAGTGCTTGGGCCCCTGAACTCAGGTAGGAGACCTGGAAGAACCTCCTGGCTCCTGGCTTCGGCCTGGCCATGTGGCCATTTAGGAGGTGAACCAGTGGGTGGCAGATCTCTCTCCCTGCCCTCAAATCTGCCTTTCAGATAAGTCTAAAAAAATGAGCCCCCTGACTCAGGGTGGAATGGGGGGAGGGGTGGATTACTTCCAGCCGGCCCCCCTGGGGTTATGGGTTACAAGACTGGAAGTCATTTATCCCCTCTGTACCTGTAGGTAATATCTTGATGTTAGATGTTACATTCTTGTCTGGAGGGTGTTGCTAAGGTGGAAACCCCAGGCCCAGAGCAAACAGTCCAGCAGTCCCTTTATCATCAAAATTCCCAGACACAACGGCCAGCCTCGAGCTGAGCGCGCACCGGTCAGCCCCAGCTGCAGTCTGCGAGATGCCTTATCCCAGCCCCTGGAGGCTGAGACCCTTGGGGGGAGCTACACGTGCTCTTCCTTGCTGGGCTTTGCAAACAAACACCTGTCCTCTCCCCTGGTGTCGGCGATGGACTGGCTGCACCATGGGCGAATGAACCCGGTTTGGAGGTTCTGCAGCCCTTCTGCATCCCAAGGGGCAGTGGGTCTCTGAGTGGTGCAGTCAGCAGGTGGCCGTTGGACACCCTCTGTGTCGGGTTCTGTGTGTGATGGGCGCCACCTGCCTCCACCATGGGCTGTATCATCCCCAGCTCTACCCCTGACATCATCTCTCCCCTGCCGCCTGCACTGGGAGGGGAAGAGTGGACACAAGGGAAGCAAAAACCAAGCCCCTTCAGGCCCAGGATTGGTGACCTAACATGCCAGCACACAGAAGGCACGAGTACACACACGACATGAGCCGGAGCCCGGGCTGTGGAGCAGGATCCCAGGCTGGACCTTGGGGAGCCCTGGCTGCAGAGCGGGAGTCCCAGGCTGGACCTTGGGGTCTTTCCTTGAGCCAAATACAGGAGTTGGTTTTTGGTGGGCACTGTGCCCCTTCCATGGCTCTCAATCAAGGGGTTCTTTGCAGCGTGTGTCCCCGTCCTGTGCGGCACTGGTTGCAGGAACCAGTGAATGGGGGGGAGGGCACCCCTCAGGACTGTGCCTTGGGGTGCAGAGAGGCCACCGAGGCTGCTGCTCTGGGCACTGCCCTCCCTGAGTGAGGGAACCACCGCAGGCTTAAGCACCACGTGGAGCGCCTTTCCTGCCACCTGTCCTTGGGGCCCAGGACTCCAACCAGCGCTCATGGGATGATGGGACATTGCAGGCAGCGGCTTAAGCCACTGGACCACAACACTGGCCCCAAACTTATGTTTTAATTCTGCTTCCCGCAAGTTTTTTTTTTCTTTTGAGAGCCAGAAAGCCAGAGCCTGAGACAGATAAGCAGGAAAAGAGCCCTCATCTGGTTCACTCCAGGGGCTGCATTGAGAAGTCGGGAGCCAGGAACCCAACCCAGGTCTCCTACCTGGGTGACCGGGCCCCAGCTTCTTGAGCTGTAACCGCCGTCTCCCGGGGTCTGCACTGGCAAGAAGCTGGAGGCAGGAGGCAGGGATTGAACGCGGGCACTGCTTTCCAGAATGGTGCCTGGTACCCACGTTACAAACGCACCGAGCCAGACACGCCAGCCTTGCAGTGAAGAGCTTTCACCGCGAGGTGACGCTGTTCCCAGGAAAGCCGTGGGCAGCGTCCCGGAGCCTCGCCTCCAGCGCCCACGCCGGAGAAGGCGCAGCGCACGCCGGCCTCCTCCGGGCCTGAGCCCTGGCCCCACGGGGCTGTGGGATGGAGGGGGCACCAGGAGGAAGCCCCTGTCCTGGGGTACATCCTGCAGAGGAGGGGCTTCTCCGGAGCCCCGGAGAGCAGTGGGTGGAGCATCAGGCACCTGCTGCTGAGGTGGGAGGAGGTGGAGTCTTCCCGCTGAGCCATTGCGCGAGGCAGGCAGGTGCAGCCCTCCTCTCTGGCGCCTCCAGGCAGTCTCTCTGATGGTGTCCCAGATAGTGGGCCGGGCCTGGCAGTCCCCCACGCTTTGACCCTGCCTCTCCCCCATGGCCTGATCACCATATGGCCACGGTTCCCCCGGGTGCCGCACCAGAGCAGTGGTGCGCGCGTGCTACCCCGCTCCCCGCCCTCCATCCTGGACACGCTTTGTCCAGGCACCTGGCCCCTCCCCTGGGTGTTTCTGTGGCCACGAGGAGGTGGAAAGAGCCACGAGGGACTTGGAGTTCCGGGTCTGCCATTGTCCTGTGGCCTCCCAGGCACTCTTCAACGCTGTGATAAAATATACGGGATACGGACAGACTTGGCCCTCTCTAAGGATGCTGTTGAGTGGCACCCAGCGCCGACTCGGTGGTGTGCCTCCCACAGTCTCCAGAACTTCACTCGCTCAGCACCAGCGCCCCGGGCCCGGGGAACCCCCTTTCTGCTCACCCCGGCTCCTGGCACCTCCTCTCCGTGGACTTCCACTGTGTTTGCTCTCTGATGTCTGGTGGATTCGGCTTTCAACGTTCCCCCACGGCGTCGTCTGTGGCAGAACCTCCTTATTTTTTAGGCTGAAAACTATTCCAGGCTCTGGGGAGAGGACATTTGGTTGATCCCTTCCCTGGCTGATGGGCGCGTGGGTGGCTGTTGCCAGTGATGCCACTGCGGACATCGGAGGCCAAATATCTCTTCAAGACCCTGCTTCCAGGGCTTGAGGGTACAGAACTGGCGTCGCTGGGTGGGATCCTAACTCTGCTTCACTTGGGGTGGGGTGGGGGGGCCACCAAGCTGCCTTGCACAGCACTGCAGCGCTGGGCGCCCCACAGGCAGGGCCGAGGTTCCACAGTGTCCACCCTAAGCCAGGAGGCGGCCTCTCATCGCCTCTCATCGGGGTTGATCTTAGCACTTGTCTGCGCTCGGTGGCGCTGCCTCTTCTCGGGTGTTACTTGGCTGTTTTTGTCATCCTTCCTTGGGGGACTGTGGATGGCCATTGGAACACTTTATTTTGGTTATGGTTGAATTTTAGGAGTTCTTTATACACTCCTGCTATTAAACCCTTCTCGGATGTATGACTTGCAGATATTTGCTCCCATTCCATGGGATTCATTTTCACACTGTTGGGGGGTAAAATCTTTGCTTTGGATCAAGTCCATTTTTTTCTCAATGTATTTATTTGCCTGTGCTTTTGGAGTTCTATCCCCCTCGCCAAAATCATTGCCAAAGCAGTGTGAGGGAAGTGTCCGGTAGGTTGCTTCTGGGTTTTGGAGATTAGTGCTTATGTTCAGATCTTTGATCCATTTTGAGGGAATTTTTGTGTTTGTTGTAGGTAAAGGGCCATGTCTTTTTTTTTTTTAAGATTTATTTATTTGAAAGTCAGAGTTACAGAGAGAGAGAGAGAGAGAGAGAGTCTTCCATCCGCTGGTTCACTCCCCAGTTGGCCGCAACAGCCGGACCTATGCTGATCCGAAGCCAGGAGCCAGGAGCTTCTTCTGGGTCTCCCACGCAGGTACAGGGGCCCAAGGACTTGGGCCATCTTCTACTGCTTTCCCAGGCCAAAGCAGAGAGCTGGATTGGAAGCGGAGAGCCAGGACTAGAACCAGCGCCCATATGGGATGGTGGC